GGTACTGGGCAGGGTTTCAGAAAATGTGACTGCAAATCTAAATGTACCACAAATAGGCGTGCTTGTCGCAAAAACCAATTGCTACGTAATTCAAAGTGTCACCAATCTTTAGATTGCACTAATAAGTAAGTACAATTTTATCATATGTTTTGCAAATTAATTTCCCTAATTGTAGTAATATTTTAAACTGTTTGATTTTTGTATTAAGTTTTTTTAATTGATTGATGATTGATTCAATCAACTAATTTGTTGATTGTATTAACTTGATTCTTTAAATATTGAAAATTAAATAAAGAACATTATGTTAATTTAAGCGTACAGAAACGTCGCTGTTGTTCCAGCAAGAATCTTATTTTCACTTTACCGAGTGCCTAGTAGGTAATGTGCAGATTACCTAGATACTGTGCACATTACCTAGGTAATTTGAGAAATTGAACAATTTTAGCAACTTTAACGGATCACCCTAGTCAATGTGCACATTAACGGATTTCGATTTTTAGCGGTAACATATAGACTATATACGAACGTTGCATAACATTTGTTATGTGTGTGTGTGTATACGCAGCATCTGTATATTATGTATGGGTATTATATAGAGAGAGGATGACATACAGTTTGCAAAATCCCATCAGTTGCTTAATTTTTCTCAGATCTATGAAATACACTGGTGGTCGCAAATGTACTCCTAATCGACAGCTTATGGTTTTAGATTTTCTAACACCGAAGCAAAGGCCAATTTTCATTAAAACTGCTATCAGGAGACATTATCCTTCGACAACTGCCGATGTAGCATGTTGTCGTATCTTGTTTAACTCGACTATAATTTAAAGGACATTTACAACACCAGACACAATATTTATGTAAGAGTTTTACGCTCTATTCAAACATTTTTGTTTGTATTTTTAATNTTTATCATATGTTTTGCAAATTCATTTCCCTAATTGTAGTAATATTTTAAACTGTTTGATTTTTGTATTAAAGTTTTTTTAATTGATTGATGATTGATTCAATCAACTAATTTGCTGATTGTATTAACTTGATTCTTTAAATATTGAAAATTAAATAAAGAACATTATGTTAATTTAAGCGTACAGAAACGTTGCTGTTGTTCCAGCAAAAATCTTATTTTCACTTTACCGAGTTCCTAGCAGGTAATGTGCAGATTACCTAGATACTGTGCACATTACCTAGGTAATTTGAGAAATAGAACAATTTTAGCAACTTTAACGGATTACCCTAGTCAATGTGCACATTAACGGATTTCGATTTTTAGCGGTAACATATAGACTATATACGAACGTTGCATAACATATGTTATGTGTGTGTGTGTATACGCAGCATCTGTATATTATGTATGGGTTCTATATAGAGAGAGGATGACATACAGTTTGCAAAATCCTATCAGTTGCCCAATTTTTCTCAGATCTATGAAATACACTGGTGGTCGCAAATGTACTCCTAATCGACACCTTATGGTTTTAGATTTTCTAACATTGAAGCAAAGGCCAACTTTCATTAAAACTGCTATCAGGAGACATTATCCTTCGACAACTGCCGATGTAGCATGTTGTCGTATCTTGTTTAACTCGACTGTAATTTAAAGGACATTTACAACACCAGACACAATATTTATGTAAGAGTTTTACGCTCTATTCAAACATTTTTGTTTGTATTTTTAATACAAGACTAATTTACAATTATACACTAATTATGTAATATATTATTAATGATAATTTTCAATAAGGTTAATACAGAAACCTCAACAACTTACCTGATGTTCTGAAAGTAAATGGATGAAGGCCCTTTTCTTCTCTGTATCCACTTAATACCAGACATCCTCCAAAGAAAGTTATTTGGTAAAGGTAAGTAAAGCCAACACACGTTGCAGCATACGAACAGAATAATCTTACAATAGGAAAAGGTGCAGTCATAGCAATACAATAGGAGGCTACATTGGTCACCAAAGTGATAGTGATACATACTGCAGCGTTGGAATAAGTATCTTTCATACGTTTGGCAACAACTTTTTTCGAATCAGTGATCCTCCAACAAGCTATCTTCACAAAGGCATCATCGATTTCTGTAGCTAAATATACAATATATTAGCTCAAGATCAAGTTAATTTGCTACTATTATTACTTACCCAAAATGATAAAAAGTATGACAACGTTGGTACTCGGATTGTCAACTCCTGCTGCACTCAACAGACCAAAAGACGAAACTGTTGCTAAACCAGCAGAAACGACAGCAGCTACTCCCATCCACGGTTTGCTCTTAACCCAGTCGTTAGTCATGTACATCAGGACACATAAGATAGTAATTACTGTTACTGAAACTCCTATTAGAGGAGTTATGTTACCAGCAAGAACTGGAATTTCTAATTCAACGGACGTCACTGGACATGGAGATATTTTTATGTAGTTAAATTTAAATTCTTTTATTCGCGAATAAAACGTTTTTCGCCATTGTGCTATCAATTCTTTTTTAGTGATATCGCTCTCGTCCGTTGGGTATAACAAACAGACGGCAGCCATTTCCTGTATATTTCCATTATTGTCAGTTTTTACTCCACCAGCATTCAGAGACATTAGTTTGTAAGTGACTGACAATTTGTCAATCTGAACGGGATATTTGAATTTTATTTTTCTAGAAATGACTTCATTGATGTGATTCACCATTGATAATATGGGATTCTCGAAACATTTATTGTTAACGATCCCGCAAATTTCTTGATACTGTATAAGTGGAAAAAAACTGATTTGGTCGTTAATTAAGACGTTTATTAACCGGGGTTCCACTGTACTTATTACTGAGGTTGTTAATTTAAAATTATTAAATTAAATTAGTGTAAGTCGTTATCAAAAATTGTAAGAGAAAAGCTTTCATTTTCTTCAAAGATTATTTTCAAAATATGCAGTTTAAGAGCTACAGTAAATATTCACTTATCTTTTGCACAAAGCTTTGTACCATTATACTTCAATAAAAAAAAGTGTACAAATTTATTCAATAATAAAATATAGACATACATTTTATTACCAGATAAATACTATGAACAGCAGTTATTATTTTAAGAAATATTTAAAACTGCTCTTTCACAGTTTTGAGCATGTATGAAAATTGTTTTCATTGTATTCTATATTTTCTAGATTCTAAACTGACTTAACTTCTACATATACACGTGTATTTTCATATAAAAATCAATTTCCACAAAATAAAATAATATATATTTAATATTATAAGTAAACTATGTTCAAAACTTAATTGTAATCTGAAATTTTGGGTTATTTCTCTTTGATAATCTGTTTTTAAATAGGTCATTTAGAATGAATTGAATATGATATTAAAGTTAAACAATTCATCAGCATGAAAATGTCTTTTTGACATTTTTCAATTAGTTTTTCTTTCCAATCCATTGCTTAATTTTTTGTTCCATTAAGAAATATTTATAAATAAGTTTATATTCTCTTTGATAGCAAAAGCATAATTTAGATTCAAATCATACGGAAAATATGGAATTTATATATTTGAATTCTTTTAAAATATATATTTAAAACTACTTATCTATTTTTATTTTTAACTATTTTTTCATTTTTATTTTTGCTAATATGCTTTACTCCAGATGATCTATTTTTTACTAAGCTGCAAACAATTCGTTTCACTGCTCTACCAACATCATCAGCTGTAATATCTTGATTTGCAAGAATTAACCAATCTTCTTCATTAACACCTGGAGGTACTTCTAATATTCTTTTAGATATTCCAAACTTTCCTGAAGCAGCTCCACCAGTTGATATAACTGGGATGATAATTTGATCATTCCAAACGAATTCTTGAATTTCATTTGCAACTCTTGGTCCACCTTCTATAACAATACATATATCAAAAACTGATGCAACTACAGATACTCTTTCTGCAGATACTTCTCCATTAACTATAATGGATATATTTTTTGCCAGATTGTCGAATTCTTCGATTTCCATTAAAATTTCTTTCTTTAAACTCTTCTATTTTCAGATAATGAGTACTTTGCATTCTGTATTCACGAAACTCATGAAACTGAAAAAATCTGAAATTACAGAAAAATTTGCTAAAACGTTTCAATTGAGATGTTGTACAACGCAACAATAGGAACTAATAATATATTTGAGCTTTCTGCATGAAAATATAACTAAATACTCTTGAAAATAAGATTATTTCGAAATTCTGAATATACCGTGTTTGTATAACGATCAGCCAAAACATTCTAACAATCTACTTAATATGATATTGATCTTCACCGGTTGCGAAATTCCACAAAACGTAACTAAAAATATTTATAAAATAGTACAAAAGTAGTAAATTGTCCACATGTAGTATCCTAGAGCCCTACAGATATTTCAATTCACTACTTGTAGCCCAATCTTGCAACCGTCTTTAATGGTTAACCCTGTTATAGTTTAGTGGGGATTTCCGACACTTTAACGTTTTAAAAGTTGCACTATACATAGATTTTGCGATTAATATCTGTTTCCCCTTCAGTAACTTAATGATTTTGTGTATACAGCATGCTCAGAATTTACTACGGTGTTGCGGCAACTGCTGTAAGAGAAAGACAACATTACTTAGTGAGATTTTCAAATATCCCACAGTATTAATCACTTTTTCTGGATTTAACAATATTTATCTAGTTTATTTTTATTTTTATAATAAATGTAATTTCAGTGCATTTATTATTTATAACATAAATCGACTTTTTACTCCCGTTTAAAATTATTATAAGTTTATTTTAATAAGTTTTATTTCCGTACAAATTCAAAATGGCAATGAACTTTGATGATTTGTGGAATGCCGAAGGCACAGGTGTAGAGGTATTCAGATTGACAATGTCATTACAACGCTTCCGATTCCTCTTACGCTGCCTAAGATTCGATGGAAAAGTAACACGCCGTGCAAAAAGATAAGTGAATAAGGTTGCTTCAATTAGAGAATTGTTTGAAATATTTGTTGACAAATGTGATAAAAATCACTTTTCATCAGAGTGTGTTACAATTGATAATATACTTCCAGCTTTCTGGGGTAAATCTAAATCTCCCTTTAGACAATATATACCAAGCAAACCACCCAAGTATGAAATAAACATATAGGAAATGGCTGATGCAAAAACGCATTATGTTTGTAAAATAGAAACAAATGCCAAAAATCATCCTGATGGCCCATTGAAGTTAGATAATTCGGCTATTGGTGTGGTCTCGAGGCTCAAAGATTTCAAGATCAGATAGAAACGTCACTTTTGACAACTGGTACACATCTTTCTCGCTAGTCAAAAGGATACTCGATGTCCATAATTTGAGTTCGGTGAGCACACTTCGAAAAAACAAGTGTGAAATTCATAAGGAATTCTTAAATATCAACAACAGATGTAATTATGACAGTATGTTTGGTTTCACAGACAAAATTGCACTGGTTTTATACATCCCACAGACTAAAACAAAAAAAATGTCGTTCTTCTCAGCAGAATTCACTATAAAGACATAATTGACCCATATTCTGGTAATAAAAAAGTCCTCAATTTATTTTCTTCTACAATACAACTAAAGGAGGCGTTAATATGGTCGACCAGATGGCAGTCATATATGACATTTGAAGAAATAGCCGTCGTTGGTCCGTGACAGTTTTCTATACTCTTCTGTACATCTCAGACATAAATTTCTACATCCTATATCTACACTATCAAACTTCTCACGAAAAACACTAAACCGCTGCAGCTTTATCAAGCAGGTAGCTATGCAAGTTATAGATGATAATCTGAAGAAGAGAAAGCAAAGCATACGTGTGAATAGAAATTTCAGGAAAGAAATTAAAAGAATATTGCCAGCTTGCTCAAGCCCTGCCACCCTCACACACCACACGAAACAAAAAGATGTGCATTCTGTCTCAGGTCAGGCAATCGTAAAATAAAAACAGTGTGCAGCGAGAGTTGAAAACATGCATGTAAAGAACAAAGCAAGTTACTTGTTAGTTGCATTGAGTACCAAAACATTCCTAGGTTTATTCAAACTGAGACATAGATGTTTACAGTATTTACAATGTATTTCCTGTACCAATCAGTGTGTACAGACATGATGTGAGAATAGTGTTTCTCACACGGGTGTAAAGACATGACAATCTAACATTCATCTTCTGTAGACAAATCATGATTTGAGACAATGAACCACTTAACCATGTTTAACCATAGCATTCATTGTTATGTGAATGCAAAATTTTTCAATACTCATCACTTGCCTTGATACCTTCAATCATTACAGTTGCATATTCCTACTCCCATGACATACCAAATCAGTACGAGTAAGGTATTCGCTCTGGTCACATTTACATCAAAAAAGCAACAAAAACAATAATAATAATATTAATATAATAATAATAATAATAATAATATAATAATAATAATAATATAATAATAATAATAATACTTGCTCTTATCAGAGCATGTTCCTCTGGCCAATGTTCGTTCTCTTTATGACATTTTATTTAAGTGAGGGGGCTTTTGACATTAACCTTATGTACCCCTGGAATGTTGACAACAGTAAAGAAATTGTAATTCCACTATAACTACGAATAAATACATTACTATATAGTGAGGATTTCTAGTTACACACTTGCCAACTTTTTATCCTCGTGTTATCACAATATGCCACTTGACCCCAAGTTGGACTTGAAGAAAAAGTAGGCATGTCATGCAAGTAAGAAAAATGTAGGATTTAGTCTGTAATTTTTACTCCAAAGATACAATGTGAATGAATTCACAAGCATGACACAATGTTACTACAAGAGTTATTGTGGCAAACCAGAATTGATTAAATTTACTAGAGGTGTAGGCAAAAAAGCATTATCATTCAGAAATATCTACACAACAGTGAAATGGGAAATGGATAATTTGGGGTCTAGCACTTTTTATACTGAAGGAAATGAGGAAATGGTCAAATCTGAACTATACAAAAATTTAATTTTAACACATATTACCAACTGATGAATCAGATTGACAAGATGATTGATAAACCCAATTTAGATTTCTATCAATATTATTGGTTAAATAGAAAGATCTAATGTAATAATTTTTGGTAAATCTTGTTTTTTCATTATCTTACTGTATTTATGTACTAATTCAATACGTAATCATACTTATATGTAATTATATATTGTATATATTTCTTGAGAGATACAATAATAC